GAGTTGTTTCTCTAAGATTTACTCACAAACGAAAGCATGAGTACTCAATGTAATACTCATTCACGTTTTATCCAAAATATTTAACAAAACACTTATGCACTGGCATGCACAAAAATATATTGAAGTAGTGTAATATTGAAAAAATGATGTAACGAAATGGAAAATAGACAAGAACTATTTTAATGAATTATCTATATTATTCTCTATTCTTTTCTAATGAATCATACATAATCATAGTTAAGGTTCAATCAAAATGAATTAGATTGCATTTAGATCCACTTGAAATGTACTAGATCATACTTAATCTATTTAAATGAATTTGAATTGATTTAAGTTAAATCGAAATTCAATTAAGTTTGATTACACTGCATTAATTTCAGATTATAAGTCATTTACATCAGATGTAGATGCAATATAAATGCATTAAAGTTGATTAGAATGATTTCAAATCTAATTTCAAAGGATTTATACGGATTTTAATCTACCTGAAATTGATTCAAATCCAACTCAAATATATTTACTTCCTATGCAAATGGGTTTGAACTTAATAGAAATGCACTCAAATCAGGTTTATACCCCTTCAAATCATTTATAATCTATTTGTATTGCATTTAAGCCCTCCATCCCGCTAAAAAAAAGTTACTTGTCGTTAAAATCATCGAAATTAACATAAATACAGCAAAAGATAGTTCGTCATTTGATTTCTCATAAATGACAAAAATTTTTACTCGGTACCTCTTTTCTTATCCAAAAATTTTAGTCTTCTAAAGAGACTACATTTTCAAAATACTTACGCTTGCTCGTTATATTGGTAAAAAACCTTCTGTACTGACGACCAAAAAATCTATGTAAAGTATTACTATTGTTTAATGATAAAACGATGAAAGCATTATTTTATATTCAAATAAAAAAAAAAAGTTTCGCTTGGATGCATTCATTCATGTATGTGAAGTAGCACATGATATATTATTCAGACACTGATGCTTTTTACCCATGAAAATATTTTCATTGTTTTGCTTGTTCTATCGTTCATTGATCGAATAGTTTTATCGACGATGACAGATACCAAATCAATGCTTGAAAAAATGTGCATTATACCAAGGTTTTATTTATTTTTTTCATCGTTGTACAGGATGGATAAAATATTTTGGCTTCACAATCCATAGTATGCTACTCAATACTGTTGATCCTGGTAAAATAAAACTTCAAACATCCATTCTACACATGAGAGGGTGTGGGTGTGCTTATTCCCAGGTGAAATGTTTCAAGGAAAATCATACGATATGTTTCGATCCTTCCTTGGAGGATCATCTTCAGGCATGTCTAGAAACATTATAACTGCATTTAAAATTAATCATGAACGATAATGGATAAAAAATTCAAAGAAATTTCATCCAACATGAACATAGAAGATTAATTTTTTCAAGAAAGAATAACATAGTTCGAATTCACAAGAGTGTGTATAGCTACCACAATACCGTTGGTGGAATGTGTACGATAAAGAGCAGATGTATTTACTTCCTATCTAGTTAAGTCGATGTTGGTTGTCGGTGATCAAGTGGGTGCAATATGTAGATCTAGTTATTGATGCATGTTAAGTATTCTATGAGTGTGTTGTAGTGAACTGCAGAGGACTCCGAAACCCGATTCCGATTCCGACTCCGTTGGAGTCGAAATCGCGAACACGAAATTTTTCGGAGTCGAAGTTGGAATCGGAGTCGAGAAAATTTTTTCGGAGTCGGAGTCGGGTTTCAGAAACAAAAAGTCCGACTCCGATAATTATCAATTACGTGTTAAAATTTGCTACTCATAATTTCTCTTTTTTTTGTTTCTGAAAAAAAAACATGACGAAATGTGTCTTATGACAAAATAAACTGTATTTTATTTCTTATTGAGTCGCCAATTGTTTTTCTCCTTTCAGAATATCGAACCTTGGTATGAATTTTATGTCGATAAACTACAAAACACAGTTTCGAAGGTTTTTCGGAGTCGGAGTTGGAATCGGAGTCGAAAGAAAATTTTTTTAGGAGTCGAAGTCGGGTTTCGGAATGAAAAAATGTGACTCCGCTGACCACTAATGTGTTGATATTTGTGGAAGGATAGTAGTGATAATGATCTGAAATAGCAAGACGTTAGATTCATGATTTCGAATGTCGAATGATTTCAGAATCAATTGAAAAAGCTTGTCAGCGCAGCCGCTTTCGGGCTAAAATGTGGAACTCACATATTTCGTGTGATTTAGCTGCTCATTTAATTGAAGACCTTTTATATTATAACGATTTGTTTTCAATATATTATTGTTTTTAAACAGGCTGTTTCGCTTATCTTGTGGTTGCAAGCCGTTTTAGAGCTCTTGAAGTAAATCATTTCGTGTCGAATGAACAATATCGTAGCTTTCTCCAGAAGTGCTGATTAGTGTGAACAAAATTAGTGAGTACAAATAAAAAGGGATCCTAATAATTTCTATTTAGATATATTTGATGAAAAATATGACATTCATACCATCCGAATAGCTGATTAAGAGAAATCGAACATTGTTAGTATTTCATTCGATAACGTTATTATTCATTATTATCAAATGAAATTTTAATGATTCCGAATATTAATCATGCCGAAGGAATATTAGTACATCAGCATTGACATCACATAGAATTCAGACATTTGTTACTACCGGTTATGTTGTTATGATTCATTCAATTATATAAAGTAAGTGAAAGTTATCGAGTGACATGAGATTATTTAATATATACTATATACAGTGGGTTGTGAAAGTCAAATTCATATGCACCATGATCTATTATAATTGCATTCAGTAGCGAAGGTTCGATCAATAAAATAATTCAGTTAAAAATCTTCTTAAAGTCTTTGTAGTAGATTACTTGCACATTGTCTTAGTTACTCAATTTATTTTTGTCTAAAATTAGATGTATTTAACAATTGATAATTAAATTGATGCTCGTGAATTTGATACGTATATAAAATATATTGAATATATTATCAATGGTTAGGTATTGAAAGATATTAGTCGTGTTATAAATATTATTTCGATCGAACACTTTTTCAGAAGATTTTTTATTATATTAAAAATTAGATAGCTTTTTGTATATTTTGATATGATTCTTTTTCTCTTCATTTTATATTTTTTTATTTCTATTTTGTTTTTCCGGTTTAGTTCGGAATATTATCTACTATAGTTACTAAAATGTATTTTATGTTTGTTTGTAGTTTGAATTTATTAAGATTAGCGGGCTATATAATCTGAATTTAGATTACTGCAAAGTTATGTAAGATGTGAATAGATATTGTTGCATTAGTTAATTTTTTTCAAATCACTTTGTGTTGTTACAATTATATATATGTATAAAATATATTATGTTGTGAAATTGAGTTTATTAAATAAGGGTTTATGCATGAGCAATAATATTTGTTTCTCAAATATAAATATTCTTCTTTTTGATAAACGTTTGTACATTTTAGTACTACCAATAATGTTTTATGTTAATTGTTGATGAGATATGCTCAGATTTCAACAATTACTTCGTCTAAAAATGGTAAAATACTATTTTAGTTAAAATTACGGAGTAAAAATAGTATGTAAGATACTTTGGTGAGATAATTGATCTTCTTTAACTACTGAAATATCACTAACTATACCGGTTATTTCACTATACGTGAACTTTACAACCAAAGAAATAATATTGTCGAAGTTATTTACATTGTTAATATAATTATTGTTTTCTATCAAATCAGAATTTTTTTTGGCTAATACAAGCATTAATAAAGGTCTTGCAATTCTTAAATTATATTGTTCATTAGTAAAAGTTGAAATATTAATTTGTAAGTAGTCGTCAATGATGTTTTCATCTTTTATTAGCCGAGCATGACAATCAGTGCAGGCAATTATATTTGCTACATCAACTATGTTTGTACCACCAGAACATTGACATGTATAATAATTGATATTTTTTTTAACAGCCATTATTTTTTCCTTTTGTGTACTGTATGTATTTATAATATTATCAACTTGGCTGATTACGTTTGGTAGATCATCAATTTTTATGAATCTTACAAATAGGGTGTGGATGTCTTCTATTCTAACACACCCACACCCACATCCATTGTGAAAACGGTGTTTTTACGAACTTTTAACGCGTTTTTTCAAAGATCTTGTCTGACTGGGTATGGCTGCTGGACTCACCCGCACTATTACTCCCATCCTCATCTCACCGCCTCACATGCTCTGAAATAACAAAGAATAAGAGAACAGCAATCATCTTACTTTTAAAAAGATGCTTTTATCTGTTTCCACCTACCTCTTTCTTTGGTTTCACAGTGTTGGTGTGATAAAGAAAATAGAATGTGAAGAAAAGAAAGAAAACTGTTATCTATAGTTTTACTTATACTTATCTACCTTCGTCATACGTAGAGCACGCTTCACATTTCACAATTTCCATTTCAATTTTCTCCTTAACATGGCAGCAAAATATCCATACGACGAGAAGAAGTGCTCTTCCGAGCGATTCCTCGATGTGAATAATGAACCACAAGAAGCTTTAGGACCGTTGGAAAATTATGAAAAGAAACCATTGGTCTCATTAGAAGAAGCTCTTAAACCTATAGAACATTTAATATCCAATATAACAGGTTATGTCTGGACTGCAAAAGAAAATTGCAAAAAGCTGGACGGCTCTTTAACTCTAGATGAAGCAGCTGCAGTCCATTTGTATACTATGCAGTGCCTATATCAACAATTAAACGCGGCATTACGTTCAGAAAAGCGTGAGCAAGTAACACCATACTACTCTTATTTGAAATTGATACTAACAGCACTTTGGAAACTACCCTCCGAGAAATGTCTTGTGTATCGTGGTGTTACAAGTGATATAAGCGCTCAGTTCGATAAAGGAAAGAAGTTCACATGGTGGGGCTTAACATCTTGCACAAGTGCTTTAGGTATGCTGCAGTCAGACCAGTTCCTAGGCAAATCAGGCAACAGAACAATGTTTATCATTGAATGTATGAACGGAAAGATAATTCAAAAGTATTCACACTTTCCTGATGAAAATGAAGTCGTATTATTACCGTGCAGTTATTTTGAAGTATTAGATAAAATAGATCAAGGAAATGGATTGCGCACGATACATATTAAACAAATACAACCACCTGTGCTTCTCATTCAACCGCCTTTCTCCACCAGCCCATTACCAGTAGAAACTGCGAATACAGGTATACAAACTTTAAATTTTAGTTGTGTGAAAGGCAAGCATTGATTAAGAATCCTTAATGTGAAGTTTAATCTGTTGAAGTACATAGGGTGATCCAAAAGTTCCCGAAATTCACCATAATCTATTTAGGGAAACGAGATTTCATTTATCTGTTTACACCATATATTCGAGATAGTTGCTGTGATAGTCCGTGGAAACTTTCATTCTTGTAACTCACTCTTTAAATATCCTTTCGAAGTAAAGAATAGGTATAAAATTTACCTTCTTAGTTATTATCCCTGCCGAATTGTTGTAGCTGCTGTTTATGTCGTCTATATCGAATACACATCAACAAGTAAGAGTCTGGAAGCCTAGTCTACGGTGAGTACGCCTGGCAAAATTTAACTTCATTCGTCTCACTTTGTAATAAATAATGACATTATTTTACATGTTGCTCAAAAAACTCGTAATAGAAACTAATCGAACTATGCCATGACGATACGTTTTCATTCGATAACTTTTTTATTTTGAAATTTGAACGTTTATGACTAATATAGATAGAATCGTCATCCACTATTGAAACCATTAGATGACAAATAATGATTCGGATATCATTAAAAGAGCGACATCTATTCTTACTTTTGATGATCTTAACGATGAATGTCGCTTGGAGGACTAGTTACTCTTGTTGATCCAACTTTTGACAATGATTTTCATCCAATATTGTGATGGCACATCTCATTCTGACAACCACTAATGATATTACATAAAATCTGTTCATCACCTAGGAAACTAGAAGGATTCATGCCCATAGCCTATTGATCAAGAGTTATGACCGATTTACTGAATTTTTGGCCTATGATGTGGGTATTCACTGGAAACTTAAATTATAAGATTTGATTTGAAATTTTGCCCACGGATAGGTTTAGTTACCATTAGTATATCCTGAAAATTTCAGTCGAAATGAATGTTTCTTTCTTGGGATATTGAGTATTTATCTAAATTTGATGTTTGTGACAAATTAGTCACAAGTGACCAGTTTTTGAAAAGCCAATATCTCAAGAAAGAAGCATTCATTTTGGCTGAAATTTTCAGGATATTCTAATGATAATTAAATCTATGCATGGGCAAAATGTCACATCAAATCTTATAATTTGAGTTTCCAATGAATACCCACGAAATAAGCCAAAAATTCAGTAAATCGATCATAACTCTTGATCAATAGGCTATGGGCACGAATCCTTCTAGGATTTTCTTAATCTCACTGAAATATACTTATAATCAACAGATAGAGTCAGAAGCTTGGAACCAGTTGAGGACCTGCCCTCGTTAGTAGAAGCTCTAATTTTTTCAAGAATATTTTAGACTTCAACTATTCAACATATAGTTTACGAGCTTTTCGCACTTTCACACTAGAAATCGTATTTGATCTTCCGCTTACATCTGTCATTCTGAATAAATGTCACATTCTTTCAACTGAACATTCAGCTCTCTTATACCTTTCGTTAAAAAGATTCTTTCACAAATTCTAATAAAATCAACTTCGAGTCAGTCATCAGCATTATATAAGAATCTCACTTCCGACTAGTCTTTTCACTTCTATATAGCTCTTTGCATAACGTTTTATAGAAATTCAGCTGTAATCATATATTAGTAAGAAATATAGTCTCATCGTCAAATTTTTGTACACATTATATTTTTTAACTCTGAAAGTGCTGCTAAATTTCGTAGGTTGAAGATTCCGTATAGGAAATATAAGGTTGGACGATTCAGAAACCTGGAAAAACTTGATTAAATGAGAGCTATATATCGAAATTATTTCAATGGCTGAGTTTTTAGTCTACAAAAATCTGATTGTCCACTAGCTCGATACCGAAATCATTTGATTGATTGAAGATCAGTCTCGAAAAACCTGATTGGCTGGAAGGCCGATATCAAAACCAGATGATTGTATGAAAGCAAAGCACGAAAAAACATTACTGGATGAAGCCTGAGTCTTGAAAATCTGATTCGTTGAAATCTCAACGTGGACAAATCTGACTGTCTGAAAATCTAATCTGAAAAAAATCCATTGCTTAGAAAGCCGATATTGAAAACTTATGATTAGCTTAAATCTCGGCCTAAAAAGCTGATTTTAATCTATAAATCTGTGATCTTTGAACTTTGACACGGCGACAAGACCACAAAGTTATTCTATTTCATATAACCCTCCGTTCAATTGAGGGAATAGCATTTTTACAAATTTTGGAACATGTTAACAAACGTTCAAATCCAATGATTAGAATCAGTTTTCCTATGTGAAGGAGTAGTATTGATTTCTGTATCTCTTTTCTTGTCCTTTTTTTGCGTATGAAGACACGCTATTTTCAGTATCGTATAATCAATTTGTTTAAATGTGTAGAGCGTAATATTGCTAAAATTTCACTCATACACGGAATGTCAAGTTTGGCTTCCCCTCGATCGAAATTATTGCTCCGCTACTTGATTTTTATGACAAGTATTATTAATGGATTCGAATTTCATTATTTTTTCTTGAATTTGCCTATCGATTCATATACGTCTACCAGAAAGCAGACAACTAAGAACAAGTTTCTCTTGTTCGCTGGGATTTAAAGAACATTCTTTATGCAACGCCATGTAAACGAGATCCTTCGAAGTTTCCACTGTCTTGTTACGATCAGCTATGATTAATCGATGGATGGTATGAACGTTCACCGCCATTTTCTACCTATCCGATCGATATCCGAGAGTTAACATGACTTGTTTAAGCTCAAGATTTCATAATTTTCAACCATCAAAATACTATTTCAGATCGCATTTTTGAGATGAAAACATGTTAAAACGATGATACAAATCTGTTCTTTGGATGAGAAACAATCGTTCTTTTGCCGCTGACAACATGATGCATATTACACTTAAGAAAAGAAGGCATGGAAAGTTTTCTTTGCTAATCACTCCTAGAAAATGAGAGATTCAGTTCAATGATCATAGTCTTCATTTTTCCACTCTATTTTAGTACCATGCCGTGGCAGTTCGACGAACACTGATCCCAATGCCACATGGAACAATAACCAGACGGTGAGTGGACAAAATTCAACACTCTCTGAGTGTCGGGGTCTATTTGTGGATGATGATCAAATGACCTATGCCGCTGATTCTTTAAATGACCGTATCGTAGCATGAAAGAAGTCAAAAAAAAGGAGCTCGAAAGTACGTAAAGTGATTAGCACTAATTGGGCTGTGTACTCATCTAATTAGCACTACCTGTGGTAGTTTGCATAAGCTTTTACGCCTTATCCTAGGATACTTTCTGCAACTTTCCGGGCTCACTTAGGTATAGTATTTGAAGCTTTTTGAAACCTATCTAGGAATGGTAGGGCCTACCTAAGGACGATATTTTGAACTTTTTGAGGCTCACTTAGGGATGATATTTAGAACATTTTCAAGCCTGCCTAAAGATAATATCTAGAACTTTTTAAGATCTACCTAAAGATGATATTTGGAAGTTTTGGGATGGACTTAGTGATGATATATAGAACTTTTTTGGGCCTATTCCTGGATGATATTTAGAGGTAAAAAAAGTCAGCTTGAAGGTACATAAACTCGAAATCTAGAGCTTACTTTTCTTCTATCCTTGTTTTACCAGTTAATTTCAGTGGATATCCTATAATTCATATTTAGTTAATTAGTACTCGAGTAATTACCACTGATTAAGGTGAGTTTCCAAATAATTAGGATTAGTTTAGAAGCGTGCTTAAATAATTAAGATTAATTAAGCTAAGTACTTGACTAATTAAGACTTACGGGAAACATACTGAAGTGATCAAGGTGTTTAGACTCCATCGTTTGGCGATAAGTAGACCTCGATGAAGTATGAAAGACTTGAACAGGGTTTGTGCTCTCGCGCCTTTATTCCTGAGATATCGGATTTTTAAGTAGTTCATCCCACACTACTCAAGATTTTCAACAAAACTGTCTTGTCGAGTTTTGATGTGAACCTTTATCTACATCGAGGCCTTAAGCAGACTAGATTGTGTAGAAAATTTCAGAATTCTTGAACATAATCTTTACTAGCTATCAATGTTTCAAAATATCCGTGCTTTCCACAACGTCTGTAAAACAATGCTCATGCTTTAAAAAATTCATATCTGGTAAAGATTACGTTCAAGAATTCTGAAATTTTCTATATAATCTAGTCTGCTTAAGGCCTCGATGTAGATGAAGGTTCACATCAAAGCTCGACAAGACGGCTTTGCTGGAAATCTTGAGTGGTGTAGGATGAACTACTTAAAAATCTGATATCTCTGGAATAAAGGCGTGAGAGCACGAATTCATTTCAAGTTTTTCATACTTCATCGAGATCTACATATCAACAAAAGATGGAGCCTAAACGGCTTGATCATCTGGATATGTTTCCTCGTTACATATAAGCACTATGTAATGTTTACTTAAGCAAGAGCCGTTTCGTTACTGTAGCCTCTTTAACCGTATGAATTACTAAATATCGATACAGATGCCGATCAATATGTCCGTCTACCGACTAATCATACAATATCTAATTATGTGAAAAAAAAACCATTATTTAGTTCAAATATTGAGTTCTTATATTTATACGCACTTAGATGGCGTTTCAAAATCTAAAGATTTCTCGAAATCTTTTAAAGATTTTTCAGGTATTTTTAATATATTTCATATTTCTTTTCTCTTAGAAAAGTAAAGCAGAAATCAACAAGAACAATCTTGATAAGGCAGATGGTCACTCAGAAATAAGGTTTGAACTTAAATCATCATACGATAAACTTGTTTTAGTTGGACGATACTGGCCTGTTCCCAACGTGAATAAACCGAATGCTGTTGTTTTATTTGTCCATGGCTCAGGTGAACACTGTCAACGATACAGACATGTTGCTCACTTTTTCAATAAACACCAAATTCCATGTGTCGCTTATGATTTACGTGGGAACGGATTATCAGGTGGTCAAAGGGGCTTTATACCTAATATGGATGCTTTGTTAGACGATCTTGAATGTGTCATAAAATATATTCGTAAGGATCTTGATTTCACCATGCCATTAGTAATTTATGCACATGGCACTGGATGTGTCAATTGTCTTGCTCATATTCTTCAAAGACAGAAGTCCCGACCTGACTGTCAAGCTATGATATTAAGTACGCCTTCAATATGTCTTAAAGAGCGTCCCACACCTCTCGCGTTTTTTGCCTCGCGAGTTGTTTCGAGTTTGATTCCTCGTCTTCCACTCCTTATCAGTGGAAACTACACAAATGAGTACACTGATGATAAAGAAATAGTTGAAGCATATCGAAACGATCTACTTGTTCATGATAAATGGCCTGCACAAACTATTTCCTTATTACTGGAATTCGGTAAGTTATTAGAAACAACTGTGGTTCAATTTCCAGTACCGGTGATGATTCAACACGGTGTTGATGACAACATTACACCAATTAAAATGATTCAAAAATGGGCACAAGAGCGAGTAAAGGGTGACGATGTAATGTTCAAAAGTTGGCCCGGACACCGGCATGAAATACATAATGATATGGGTAGAGAAGATGTTTTCAATTATGTATTGGAATGGATCGAAAAGCGTTTGAAAATTGAACAGCATTAAAAAAGATACTTTTTTTCGCTCTTTTTAAAATTTATTGTTCATCTAGTGGTTTCTAATCGTAAGAATTTTATATGTGCTATGGAATTACTGTGCACCTCGATTGATTTTCTCCCCTGTAGATATTTCTTACTTTATACGACTTTAATTCGCTCTTTTTTCAATAATAATTATACTACGAGAAAGCCCAGAATTTTCTGCATCTTCTTGTGTATTAATCATAAATAAAAGAAAATAAAGAAAAGAAGAAATCACATGGACAAACAATGGCTTACAAGAAAAAATGATGATTTTTTTGTACAGTTTGAAATAAAAGCAAATCTGGTTTTATCTTTTCGATGTTTTTTTTACATACGATGCATATAAGTTTAATTATTGTTTGTATACTACAAGCTAATTTTTATCAACACATCTTTCTAGCTAAATCAACACAGTTATCGTATATCATTAACTCAAATGGTTGAAAATATCCAGATGATATGACAACTCGAAGACAGGAATGTGAATATGTGAAAAAGAAATCCAAGTCGATAATCGAACAGAAAGAAAATGTAGAAAAGAAAACAAACAATAAAGAGAGAAAAGACACACCAATACAAATACAATAGAGGATTCATATCCGGAGAGAACTTGAAAAATAGATCCACAGATTACAATCACAAAAAAATCTAAAAAAACATTAATCTATTCTTCACATATACATACAGATAAAGGAGTAGAAAATGACAAAATTAAAACAAAGGACAGAAAAGAAAAAAGTAGTCAAACATATAATAACAGCTTGTAAGGAAACGTTACAGAATGAAAAGTTCTAGTCATTCATCAATTGGATTCGAAAAGAACGTCCGGCACCAAAAAATTATGACCACATATATCCCATAGCCCGACAATGATAAAAGTCCAGTATTATGCTCTATCACAAAAAACGAAAAACAAAGTTAAACCAACATTTTCACCCAGAAAAACTATGTCCGTGAATTTCACATGTTCACTACATAATAGATAAAAAAAAGACTGATGTGAAGTACTTCCTCCTCATCATAAAATGAATACAACACTCCACTACTTACCCGAATCAGCAGATCAATCACAGTTGAGTTCTTCAATGTAACAACATAAAGTATCTCGATCTTCATTTGATAATGATTCATATCTTCATCTAACCATATTCAAAACACTAACGACATTAATTTACCTATATTCAACGTGACATTCAATGCATTCATTCAAATTTATATTCATTCTGGTACTGATGATGATCGCTCTCACCAGCCTGTTAATAACAGTCAACATCGAAAATTCTACTATTTCTTCAAAATTTAAAATTTAAATTGAAAAGAAAAAGAAAAAAATTTCTCTATTACTTCATTATTGTGTTATTTAATACATATAATATTTAATACATATAAAAAAATGTTTCTGATTTTTCTCAAGTTACACTTATATTATCTAATCAAGGTATTTGTGAGATCGCCAAAAAAGTTTTAAGTGAATAGGTGATGAATCGGTTGACTTCTAGGAGAAGCACTACTAGTTCCTAAGTGCTCTGTGATGCAGAATGTTATCTATGATAACTCTTTTTGTTATCTTCATGTTAGTTTCGGAAAACGTTAAGAAACTCCGTTTTTTTGATACGTGGGTAAGACTCAACCTTATGAAATATTTTCCAACTCAAATAGCGAAAATTTCACAGAAAAATCAACGAAATATTAAACACATTCTATTTTTCGCTTTGAAATGAATCTCAAGTTAGTGTTGAACACCACATTTAATATGAATCGGATCAAATGGCTTTGTATTTTGAATTTACGTATGATTGCCTTAGATTTTTAGTTGAAGAGATGCAAATGAAAAGAACAAGTCTTTGTTTGGCGATTGTTTCTATATTAGTCATTTTTATCGTGAAAGAAGTAAAACATATAGTTAAGGGATCAGTGACCATTTAAAATAGTTCTCGAGAAAATACACAAGGTCTGATAATACCTTGAAAGAAATGGACAAGATTTAGAAACTGAACAAAAACACAGAACTTCGATTTAATAAATTTTGTGTGAAAAGAACAATTGAGATGGAAATAAATCATCACACAGATTCTTTGACAGAACATTTTTTTAGCCAGGACAACGCCGAAAAAGCTGAATAATAAGACGTGCCCTGAGGCACAATTTGTTCGTTTTATTACTTTTCAAATGTGGGTGTGGTTAACCGAACAGGAATAGCGATTGAGCGTAGACATGTACCGAATTCAAACCGTTTGAGCTCGAATGCGATAATAGATACTCGAACTCGATCGAGCTCAAACTTCAAAAGCTCGAACTCGATCAAGTTCAAATGTGAAAGTTCGAGTATGAGTCGAGTTTAAGTTTCATGGTTGAAGTTCGGATTGAGCTCAGTGATACCTGTGGATATGAATGTGGGGGGGGGGGGGGAAGGGGGTGTAGGACCCAACCGAAGATAATCAGAGTCCGAAATCCGAATCTGCGATCAGTTTTTCAAAATTTTCAACTTGAACTTTCTTCATAAAGGAAAGAGTTTTTTAAGAAAGTAGCGTTTTTTTACAAGAGTTAACTGAGGGTAATTGAAATCGGGGAAGTCAAATCTGCAGTCAGTTTTTCAATATTCACACCTTGAATTTTTTTCATAAAAGAAAGAATTAGTTAAGAAAGTAACATTTTTTCTACAAGGGTTAACCGAAGGTAATCCAAATTGAAGAACCCAAATCTGCAATTAGTTTTTCCATATTTTGGACATGACTCTGCTCACTGAAAACACTTTTCTAGCCTCTAGATATGTAACTCACCCGAATTCAGTTTCGAGTTTTGATACTAAGCTATACAGAATTGCGTTCAGTTTGAAATCAAACGTACATAAGTGAATTGTGCTCATATTGTACCCGAGGGTCACCAACAGTAAAACATTCATATCTCAGCTTGTAATAAACGGATTCTGAAAACTTTTTTAAAATTCTTACAGTCGAGATCATCTACCAAACATGCGATTGGGTCTTTGGACTGGCATCACTGTAGCATTTTCAACTAAAAAAGGAAAAATCACTGAGTTTTATCCATCCTATCGACAAAAAAATCGCTTTTCTTTGCGATAACTTTCATCAGATAAAATGAATTTTGTAGAGGTATTTTGTAGCCAAGACTTTCCTTTTTCTGATTATATAAGTTAAATGCAGCTTTGATTTCCATATACTCATCAAATATTGGAAAAACCGCCTAAACACACTGGTGGCTATTTTATGTTTCGACAGAGTGAATTTAAGCTACTAAAGACGATTTAGAAGTAATCTCTGATTATCTTTTTACCTTTGGTAGATAAAAGGATCAGAAATGTGTTGATAAAAACGTATTTTTTTCAGGAACCATTAAATAAAAAAATAAGTGAAAATAAGAGGAGAAAGTAGCTATGGGTTTAGTAAATGTTTCGACAGATTTTTTATTTTGTTTCTTTGATTTCTCGGTAACTATAAGAGATCAATCAACGATTTCCTTGCCATTTTTAACAGGGTTTACTTTAGGACTGTGGTTAAAATTTCAGCTCTTAAAACTATATCGTTCATGAGAAAGCATTATTTTATTCCAAAAAAGTCCCGACAGATTTCATGTGAAAATGTTCCAACAGATTTTTAGTGTGCAAATGTCCCGACAGACTAAGTCGAAGATTTTCTAGGAATAAAGAAAACATAAAATAATTTGAGATTCTTTGAGTTTCACCAATTCCTCTCGCCTTGAGATAAGTTTCCATATGTATTGCCAATAGTTCTTAGTACTTTGAACCATGAAGAAGTCTAAGAGAGGTGAGGCGAATGACGGTTGGAGTATCTTCGTCACTTTAATATCTCCGGAAGATGCATTCATATTGTGTGGATAAAGATCTTCATACGTCTATTAGATTCTTCTTTTCAAGAGCTTTCGATTGATATATGATAACAATACTTCAATCCTATTTTAGAAGCTATTCTACAAACAAACTTTGAAAAACATCGACTTTTTAGAAATATTGTTTTATCACAAAATCACATAAATTAACTATCCTTTTTAGAAGACTCGTTTTCTTTTTCAAAAGAAAAAACTGCTAGTTGAGAAAGCACTTGATTTATGTGTAACCAATAAAGCTTTATCGAATGTACAACTCGAATGTTTCCCGCGTTCACATTTTTTTTAATTTTTTAGTTCTAATGGTACAATACGAATAAAATTCGCCCACATATTCGAACTTCAATTGAACTTGAGCTTTTCAGTTCCAGCTCGATCGAGTTCGAATATTTATGTTCGAGTTCAAACTGAACTTAATCTTATAGAACTTAGTATCAAAACAGAAACTGAGCTCGCTTTTGCTATATATGTAGAAGCTAACAAAATGTTTTCACTAAACAGAGTCCAGTTCAAAATTTGGAAAAACTGATCGCAGATTCGGATTTCGAACTCTGATTATCTTCGGTTAGGTCCTACACCTCCCCCACACTCATATCCACAGATATCACTGAGCTCAATTCGAACTTCAACCATGAAACTTGAATTCGACTCATACTCGAACTTTCATATTTGAGCTCGATCGAGTTCAAGTATCTATTATCGAATTCGAGCTCAATCGACCTTTCCGAGTTCGAGTTCAAATCGAGTCGAGCCCAAAATTTTCCAGCTCAAATGGTTTGGATTCGGTATATATCTAATGATGAATTTATTCATTATGATTAAACTTAAGTTGCAATGTCAAAACTGTTTGTAAATTTTTAATTATTAACGATTATGACTCTTGCAGTTAGACTACCATTAAATATGCGATGTGTATATTTAAAGATAGAAGTATTAACAATACTCACAATAAATCTGCTTGTGGATCTCATTTTATTTTTAATTTGCTTGACATGCTCCTCAGTCGAGATTTCTTTGATTGCTATACATGCATTATTTTTTCTTCATTGTAATTTTTCTCGTCAGTATGTTCATCTATTATCACTACAAATGTAAATTTCAAAGTGCAGAATTTCTCTTAGGCAATTCTTTAAAGATTATTCATTCATAATCGTTGTTATTCTACTGACTTCTCTTTGAAATTAGATTTTTAGTCATGTATCTATATTTGTTGAGCAATTTCTGGGATTTATCTATTGATAGCATATGCATAATAGATAAATAACTATAGAAAAATAGAGTAAGAATGGTGACTCATCACCCTCAACTAGATACCTTCTCTCAATCTGATTCTTCTTGTTTGATGAGAAAATTTGTCACAATATTTATAGAAAAATACTAAAAACAAAAGATATCTTTATTCGATTGTAGATCTTGTTTATTGTATTCAAATAAAATTATTATTGGATTAAAATGAATAAAAAAAGAATAGTGATAAAATCTTCAATATGACAAGAAAATATAATAAGTTTATGAGTATAGTACATTCATTGCATAATATTGTTTGTATTGATAGTTTTAATTCAATTGTGGTAGAGCAACATTAGCACCTACTTTTGAACCTAAATTGCCCATAGCTACAAGCGTAAAGAATTGTTGTAATTTAACAGCTTCATCTATAGTTAAAACTAGTAGCGTAACCAGATGGGGGCGAGAGGGGGCTCAGCCCCCCCTACGAAGGCCTGAGCCCCCCCTACAAAAATTTTTTGCTCCCTATACATAAAAATATTTATCTTTGACTTTGGTATCTCTAGTAGCGCTTATTCGAAGAATGGCCACAGATTTCGACTCCTCTATCTAAATTCTCGTTATCTATGCCATATATACATCTAATTAGTAATTGAAATGAATCGTTTGGTACAGGAAGATGAAAGCTTTGACTTGAAATAAGTTTTACTTAGTGTTCTTAATTTAAAAAAATCAAATATCTCCCATGTAAACATGATCGTTAAATTGACGGTTTAACGAAAATTAACGTTACCTTTTGTCCGTAAAAACGCGTTAAAAATCGGCGTTTTAACGAACTTTCATGCGTTATGCGACGTTAACATCTGAAAAACGGAGAAAAACGCATGAAAGTTCGTTAAAACGCCGATTTTTAACGCGTTTTTACGGACAAAAAGGTAACGTTAATTTTCGTTAAATCGTCAATTTAACGATCATTTTTACATGGACTTGGTTCACCGAAAACTCAGCATGTTCTTTCTATCGAAAAATGTGCAAGATTCACATTTGGTTTTCTAGTTTTCTTCAAGGATTTTTTCATCGAAAAATATGTATGAATATGTTTGGACATGCATATTCTTTTTGATTTTGTTGAATTCTATGTGATCATCTAAATGTATCTATTAAAGCACCTTAAAACAACAGTCTGATCACCTTTGGATCCTTTGCACATGACAAAAATATTTTTATTTCCTAAAAATATAAGATGAAAATGCTTTCTCACAATTAATAAAATGGCAACGGTTTTTCATGACATCTTATGAATTTGAATTAATTTTCGTGTGATAGCCTTGACATATCCCATAAGACTGTATATTTCGGTAAACTTAGAATATATGTAATGTAGTATACAGAATGTCACAAAAAAGAGAGTCAAACCTTTGAATCCCTTTCTAGTTCATTCACAGCGCAACAAATGAGGAATCTGGAAGATATTTTTTGAGAAACATTTTTATAGCTCAATTTTCTTGCTTTATTATTCAAGAAAAATTTGTTTCGCCAATCAGTTACTTCAAGATACTTTTTTTCTAATCAATAACCCTTTTTTTTACTTCGACTCAAATCTAGAATAAAGTTTCATTCTTTCATTTGCTTCCAGCAGCAAAGCGTTCTTTCACCGTTCGTAGTGGTCTTCTTTTTTTTGAAATAACTATTCAGAGTCTAGCCGCCTTCGGCGGCTGTGGGTATAATACAACTAACTTCGTGTTGCGCTTGTCACCCGAAAAACGTAAGCTCCTCTGATATGAATTTATATAGTTTTTTGAAAAAAATGTTTTCTTTTTTTTACGAAAAATTGCGTCTTTGAGAGTGTTTCCTGGTGAAACAAACATTAAATATTTTTACCCGATTATTGTGTCATCAACACTAAAAACCAACGCGAAAAATAATTTATACTGCACTGTTATTATAAGAAACTCATTCCGAAAATGGCAAACAGAGTTAATTTTTCATGAAAGAGCGAAACAGTTCCACCACTATCTATCTCAGAGATTATGTGCGCTATTAGGAGGAGGGGGGCAGAGCCCCCTCTACGCCTTTTTTCTGGTTACGCCCCTAGTTAAAACATGTGGCACTTCTTGTATGGATTGTTTGTTACTTTCGAAAAGACCACCTAGATAACTTTTTGATTTTTGTATTAATAATAAATCATGTGCTAATTGCCAATCAGCATTGATATCAACAATGAAAAATGAAGCAGTATTGGTTAAACTATCACCATTTTTGAATAATGTTAAAGAACGATAATTTCCATTGTTTGATGGCGAATAAAGATAATCAATACGATCCCAAGCAAAATCATCTGAATATGTTAAACCAAGCATAAAACTACCTTTTGATGGTAAATTATAATCAACAATAACTGCATTAATAAATTCCGTTGCTCTATCAGTTGGTATATTAATTGCTTTTAAAATTGTTGATTTCTGAGAAAAATATTTAAAACCAAATTGTACAATACGTGTAATTGTAGTAGAACGACTTGATTTGAATGCAGTTACAAAATCTTTCCAAGCATTGGCAGCAGCTGAAATGGCCTTAGATAAAGCTAAGATTTTAGCTGAAATAGCTCGTGGCTGAGGAGCATAAGTTTTATTATGATTCACTGTGGGTGAGATTATTTCAGGATTAAAATATGATAACATTCGATATTTTTGTGGAATAATTGTACTAGCAGCAATAAAACGTAAAATATTTAATGTAATTTTTGTTGTTTTTAATTGCCATGGTGTTATCAATGTTAAAAGATCTTCATTTAAAAATTTACCACGATCATTTAATATTGAAGTACGTATAATTTTTAACTTTTTATTATAATCGATCGTATAATTAGATTTATTAGTATTTGTATTATTTGATAATAATCTATTAATTAATTGTTGAGAAGTAATATTTACAAAAAAGAAATTAATTGAATATGTTAAATTATCAACAGTTTGACCAATTAACCAAATATATTTAATAGCTCGACTTTTATTATCAACACTAATTGAACTAGTAAATAAATTTTCATATGAAAATCTTCCTGTTTTTAATTGTTCGATAAATAATGTATTATTATAAATATCTTCAAATCCATAATCTTTTGTTAATGTTGATAGAACTAAACGAAGATTTTGACTTTTTAATTTTGTCATTTTCAATGATTCAGTTGATAATTTTAATGATGTAATATGAGTTTGTAATGTTGATAAGATTGAATCATTGTACGATGCTAATATTTCACCTTTGACAATTTTATTTGAGAGATAATTTTCAATTGCTTCAGTCAAAGATATTATCTGTTTATTAGAATTATATTTAAATAAATCACGTTTTTTAATTGCTCTATTCAATGTTTGTTGATTGAACCAAGCAAATTGATCAACTTTCAGTTTTTGGTTTATAATATTCAATTCGTCTAATGTATTATCACGTGGTGAAGACTTCGTTTCATCATGACAACAACACTTGCTGAACCATAGACATTTTGGACACCTATGACAATCTCGTACAGTGTAATATGTGTATTGTTGTTTGATAGCTGCATTTGAATTAATTATTACATAAGAAACTGAAATTGGTGAATTTGGATCACTTGGAGAATCAAGTTTCTGTGTAGCAACTATTAATGTTGATAATGCAACACTAGTTTTAGTATCAAATAGAAATGCTTGAGCTGTATAAGATCCTTCTGTTGCAGCAATCACTAATAAATTGACTTTTCGAACAGCTTTAGCACGAAATTGATCTGGAATTGACCAACTAGCCATAACAGTAGCAAGTGTTCCACTTCCAACATTAGCTTGACCAATTGATCCAGTTGTTGATGTTGGATTCATATAATTAGCCCAATTTGCTAAAATAAATAACATATTATGAAGATAAGCAAGATTAAATTTTACCAGGTTCTACTACATTTAATATGTTTGCTGCTTGTTTTAGAGCAGTAGATGTATCAAGTGATCTATCATTTATTTGAACCATTGGCGAAGCATCGAATGCGATGCATGGTATCAACAGATTATAAAATAACAATAAAATCACCGTTGGATTCATATTTTCGATCTAAAGAAACGAATGCATATTTTATATAAAATAATATTGGAAATGATTTTCTGTCTTAAAAGTATGTCTTGATAATAACATGATGATTTTAAGATAAAAAAAGACCTGGACCTCTTTGGGTCAGTTTGTAGTGTTGACTGATATCGCATTTTTTATGTGGATGAAGACATTATTTTTCTTTTCTTGCTATTATTTAGAAAATAAATTATTTTCTTTCTTATTTATATTAATCGGATTAATCACAATAAAATATTGAATATTCTATATTATTTAGAATAATCACAAAATCAATTTCAACGGGAACTATTATTGAAAAAAATAAATGATATTTTTTTTTTATTTCAATTAATTGCATCAAAGATTTCATTGTTAAGTATCAGCGGAAAAAAAAATATTTTTTTTTGAACTAACGTGAGAGTAGAGAGAAAAATTCATCGTTCTCGTCATTTATAAAAGTTTTCGGTAGTTCTAATTATTATACTAGATTCCTCAGAAAACTTCTTAAATTGCCTAGAAATCCCTGTCATCATTTTTTGACTGTTCTTTTTAAGCAACTCTCTAGGAATTCTTGAAGGAAAGTTGACTAGAGTCGATCATTCATTAATATATCGCGATGAAATCTTCAATTTTTACGCGATTTTGATTATATATCCGTGATTTTTCGACAATTTGAATCCAAACAAAAGATGATTTAATCGATGCGTGATTAACTATTGATCTGGACACTATTGAAAAAATCTTCGTTATATAACGAAAGACAGGTCTTTAGACAAAAATCAATTTATTCATATCACTCGACGACTTACCTTTTATAATATTCTTTATAACTGTCAGTCAGTATAATTATCGATACTATTTATATACGAACAGTCTAGTCATCGATACATTCCTCGATGCAATAAATTTCAACATCATGCTTTATGTCAAGTACTCTGTAGCTACTTCCGTTAGATTTTTTCTTCATAATCAGTCATTCTCTGTTATGCCATTTTCTACCAAAAGATGAATTTTTATTACTATAACTTCAGAATATTTACTGTATTAAAGTTTCTTCCTACTTGACTTATCATGACTTCTTTTCTTCCGTCAAAAAGCTAAAAATAAACTAAAATGAATACATATGCAAAACTACCTATATCATGACTTTTTTAACCAATGATGATTTAAATATAAATAAGTAGGATATTGTGAAACAGGATGTGGATGTGGTCGTGCATCTTTTCTTTAGCAACAGTCTACACACCGAAATTTGAATCTTATATTACCGATTAAGTAATCCATTAACGAATTAAGTGAATTAAAGAATGGTACATCCGTAGTTGGGGTGTGAATGTTGGTATTAAGAAGTGCTGCACTTATTTAAAACAAAATCCCTAAATTGAAAAATCCCTAAATCAAAATACATATTTGGTCACCAGAATTGATCATAATTGTTTAATCATCCACAAATGTAGTGTGATGTAGGGATGAATCTGGGGACCACAAGTTGTGGTAAAGTGTAGACATTCAGAAAAAGTTTCATTTTTGTGAATCAATAAAATTTAAGGCAACATCAAACATCGGTTCTTCCATATTTTCCCGATTTTTTTTCTATGAACAAATGTCATTAATTGTATTTACATTTAAAATAGAGAAATGCTTTAGTGATGCAAAAAGTGCATTATGACTAAAAGACTCAAAATAAATGAATTCATGCACTCAAAAGCTTCGAAACATATTGTATGAGGAAAAACTATGTCTAGAATGGACTGTTTCAGGAAACTGAATAATAATGATAGATATTCAAACATCTCGATTGTATTCAACACTGAATATTTGAATGATTTTAGAAGACGAAATTCAAAATTCAAATAGCTGAAATTTCTTGCATAGAGAAAAGCAGTATGTTGATTTCTTTCAATAATTGATTTCACCTGATCTTTAAACAACTTTATATCCAGCATAAACAATCATTTTCTTTTCTAAGCAAAAATTTTCCTGTAAAATATGTACAGTAAAGAGGTCTATGCTCCAAATCTCGTACTATCACGATGTACTTTTAATGAAATAATAGAATTAGGAAGCGAGAAGAATGAAACGACACTGGAAATAGAACTTAGTGTGTCGGCAACTACTCAGTCATCTAAAATTAATCGATTTCAAATACAAATTGTAGGACTCGATAGAGTAATATTTGCTCTCTTCTCCAACAAAAAATCTCTGCTTATAAAATATTTAAGAAAGTATTTATATAAGATTTGTATTGAATAAAACGAAATTATTAATGGAATTCGAGTCAGTACTCTACTAAGACATGTACAGCAATGTGTTTCGATGCCGAAAGTTATTGACAACGTGGAAAAATAAATTTGGTATTTCAGTACCCGAATTTGTGTGCGTCGCCATTCATTTGAGTTTAATCGCAACCATTAGATGTTTGCTTAGCCATCTTAAATTCGATTTATAGAAAGCATGAACAGAAAAATAATCAAATTAATAATATTCGGTTTAAATCAATGAACAAAATTTTCATGCAAAGTTTCCATCGAAGTGTCTCATTGAGGTAACAATATCAAGTGTGAAGTGGATAACTTGAGTTCAGAGTGTGCATTCATTCACTTTCACTTTCACATCTTGTATTCTCTCAAATCTGAGTCTGACATCAATCATAAACATATTTTTTGTGCTTCAAGACTTATAAACAAGAGATTATAGATCATTTATCTTATCTGTTCTTCAAAATTATGTTGTAAACAATTGAAATTTGAACGATCTATGTAAAACAAGTTAGAAGGTTTTATTATGAGTAAATATATGAAAAAAAAAGTGATACATAAATGTCATGTTCATTTTAGTTTAGCGTGACTGATCTTCTCAACTATCGTTTTTCTATGAAAACTACAAAATATTAGAAAAGATATTACAAGTTTAAATAATTTCACAATGAACAAGACCAAATATAATTCTATGACATCTTTACAGAGTACTCTTTTTAAGTTTATATTGGTTAATCGTGTAATGAAAGTTTTTTTTCGCGTAATAAAAATAGTTTCCACTTAAAGATTTAATATTTCCGGCAACGTTATTGAATGATTTTGTGGATGTTCAGAACTTTTGCTTGAGCGTCTGCTCATAGAGTCTTTTCTTTCGACTGAAGATTCTTTTCTTTCGGCTGAAGATTCTTTTAGATATATCAATTGAAACAAACGATTTTTTATATTCTGTCGTCTTTTCCATGCAAATAATAATAATGATAAAATACTAATAACTCCAAAAACCAAAAATAATCCACGTGTTGCTTGAATTCCGATCGCAGTCGATGTTTCAGATGAGCTAGGACACTGCTGTATTTCAAACCATTTTTGTCTTAATTTCACCAGCTCACCTGTTTCTCTTAATCGTAGGATATTCACATCTAAATCTTGTGCATATAACCATTTCTGAGGAGTAACAATACCAAATACACTTTTATCAAAATCATTTCCAACTAAAGTTAAATTACAATACATATTATTCGTGACATATTCAGCAGTACCACTATCTATAAAAGATGCAACAGTAATATCTTCAAGTAGACTACTATATATATCGTTCATAGATTGTAATCGATGATAATTTTGAGCACCTTTAGATATTTCTCTCAAATAATACTCTTCAGGAGCTGAACCAACAACAATACCGATACGATTAAATGGTATTTTTGCATTTTTAATATCATCAATTCCAGAAATAATATTATTTGTTTTTGCAATTGTCAGATCAGATGCTAAATTTGCAGTATATGATGCAACTAATATCAAACCTAAGATATATAAACCAGCAGTTAATAAACGTCCAGCAGCTGTAGTAATGTGAAAATCTACACCATATCCAACAACATTACCAAAAGAATACCATATACTCATTACAATTTGATACAATATTGATTGATTTTGTAACGCTTCATTATCTTTTCTCTCCATTATATACATCAAAATACCAGCATAGATTACAGTACCAAAGAATAACAACCAGAGATCATATGAAAATGGTTTTAAGAATGAGAACAGATCAATATTAACGGCAGATGTTTTTCGCATTATAATACGTAAAGAATTATCAAATATAGCATTGGAAAAGTCGACATATTCTCTTCGTACAGCGGTAACAGTCACATCACCTATCGCTATATCATAAACACCAGTGGCTACTGATCGAACAAATTCATTATATGTTAGATTTGATGATGCTAATTCAATAATTGGAATAAATTTCATCTTTTGCCGTAAAAGTTCGATAAGATCGAGTACATAACCACTATATTTTATTGTAGTGTGTCCAGATGGATCTATGACTTTTTCAACTATTGTAAATGGAGCTGCTTCATAAATTCCTATTCGTAAATGTACACCTTCGAGATTTGCTCTATCACTAGATGGTGTTAATGTTTTACCTGGCCATACTATAATATTTTCTTTTATAGGTATTCTCCAATTGCTAGGATGAAAATATTCTAGCACAGGCACAAAACTCAAACCATTCGATGAAGGTTGAGCATTTTTTGCAGAATAATATAAACCAGTTATTCGATCTGTTACATTGTCACTAAATTGCATAGGACCAGATACACCAAGAAATTCTGTTCTACTAACTGCATCTAACAATAACTTAGAATTAATGAAATGACGATTAAAACAGTATGAAGATCCAATAAATGACAGACATGAAGAAGAAATATTTATTTTTGATGTACACAATTGTTGTAATGATTGAATTAATGTCCATGTTGCATCAAATGCAAACAATGCATAATCATTTACATTCATGGATCCAGGAAATGATTCAGGTTCATATTGTTGCCAAATACTATATGCTGCATCTAATAATGTTGTATTAATTGGTACATTGACAACTGATCCTACAGCTGGTTCAATCAAAAACATTCCAATTAAGTTATTATA